ACTTTAGCTAGTTATACTTTACTCCTATCATTACATATTCAAAAGTTGGTCAAACCTACCTCTTCTGTGCTTATTTTACCCATATATATGTAGTTTATTGGATTTTGGCGGCCATTTTGAAAAAAGCGCCCTCACGCGAAAGTTCTCAGGTTACACCCTTTTTACCTCACATATTCTGATTCCCCATAAAAAACTGGTCTAGAAAAACCATTTGATAATTTCTACCTCTCCAAGTGGCACCTATCTCAATTATAGCCTGGTCTAATATGCCTAGTTCTGATTTGTAACTTGGAAGTTTGATTGACAGCCCGGAAAGGTCTATTATTGGCGGGTTCATATCCAAGAGGGTGCTTTTGTGATTAAGCTTGAGTACTTCACCTTCATAAAAAAAGTGAGTATTATCAAGCAGAAGAAAGTCACTATTACAATTCAAAAGTGTTAATTATACTGCAACATTCAGAAATTTTAAATAAAGAACAACTGTTGGAACGAAAATTTGATACTGTAGGCAGAGGTATGATAGGACCACAGATTGTTTATAATGCTACTTTTGACAGACACAGTCACCCCTACAAATACAATATATATTTATTTCTATTTAATATCCTTTATACTGGATGGCACGCTCAATGCAAAGGCATTTTGTTGCTGTCCAGGTATAACATAAAAATACGTCACCCACGAATGTAACAAAAATAAACCACTGTTGTATCAAAATTCAACAACTGTTGTAACAATTTCATTAACCACTATTGTAACAACGATTTAATCACTAACGTAACAACGTACAATATAGAAGTTGCCAAGCCAAAAACTTAAAATGTACATTGTCCTATTAAAAATTTCATACTCAACATGGTTGTGGCATTAAAAAAATATATAATTTTTCGATATAGGTCATATATATTAAAATGGTTTGCGACATTGTAAATATCATAGTTACCAACCTGAGAGATTTGAAATGCGTGACTACACCCGTTAAGTGGGGGGGGGGAGGTGCCTGGGCCATGGGTTTGTAGGGGCGGAGCCCCGGTGTGGGCCAGTTCGGTTCGGTGCGTGGTTGGCCAGCTGGGTTGTTTTGGTGGGAAAAGAGAAATTTACCCTGCTAAATTGATTCTCGAACGAGATAACGAAACCTCTTTATTGACTCAAGCTACTGCATGACCTTCTTTATTGGACACTAAGCTGTTTACCATTTTTCTTTAACTTGGAAAATATATTCAAGATCCAAAATATATATTTCATAGTTACCAGGCCCGTATCCAGCTTTTTGGAATGGGGGAGGTGCGTTTTGCGAGCGCAGCGAGCAACCAGGCTGGGGGCCAGGGGCCACAAAGAGCCCCCGGTCGGGGTCCAGGGGCGGAAGGCCCCGGAAAAATTTGCTTTCTTACGTCCTAGTAGACTAATTTGAAGGCATTTTATCATGTTAATCTCTATATGTCCGTGAACACAGTGATAGGGCCTATCAAAAAATTGTTTCCCAAATGAAAAATACTACTGTATAAATTCGTAACCATTACGAATAAAAATTCAGCAAGATTTTGCAACAGCTTTTCGCGTTTAAATTTCCTGCTCCTTTCTCCCCATTTTTTAACACGTGCGCGCTCCAGGGTATTTCTGAGAGCGCTAGGAACGATTATACTTGTCTAAACCGGGGTGTCATTCTAGCATTTTGACTTCATTGCTATACACTGTCATACCGGCTGGTAGTTAGGGGAAGATACACCTAGACGATAACGTGCATATAACGTGTGTATGTCTGTTGAGTATTCTTATTGTAACTCATTTGTACATTCATACAATCTTAATACTGTACTGTTATGTGAATCATTTTATAATGATTCTGGGAACAAGGTCACATTTTTTTTGGTTATCATTAGTGGACGTTTTTCGATTTGGGGGGGGGGGTGCGTACGCACTCAACGCACCCCCCTGGATACGGGCCTGGTTACCGACCGTCTCGCATAGTGCGGGACGATCCCGCATTTCAAAGTGATTTTGGATGAAACACGCATTTTGCAGAAACACATGCATGATCATAAATTTGTCACGCATTTAGCACAAGTCTATGCGTGATCAGGAATTTCAGGGGGAAATGTATTTAAAATTAGAAGAAATCGGTTTTATTAAGATTAAGAAGAAGAATATATATTTTGGATCTTGAATATAATTTCCAAGCTAAAGATCAAAGTTAAAGAAAAATGGTAAACAGCTTATTGCCCAAATATTTTAATACAAAGTAATATATATTATTCAATAATGATTTATACAATAAAAAATACTTTCAAAAATCAAATCAAATTACTAATAATATAATAATGAAAAAAACGATAGAACATTTTTTTGTATCGTTAATCGTTATCATTGTAGTATAACTGGGTATTTATTTACTCTAAAAATTATGGTATCACTGTGGATTAAAATCCATCCAAATTATTAGCGCCCCCTTTTTATACCCTGGCGTTGCCTTTAAGTAACTTAATTAGGTCACAGAAATATATATTTATTATACAGGTCGCCCTACAATTAAAGACCACTTTTGGGACCAGGGTTCCATTGTCTTTATTAACGGGCGAAAACATAATGTCCTTGGCAGAGGTAATTAGTTTAAGAAACAACGCCATTGAAAAACAATGATTTGAGTCTGTAAAGGCTCCTAGATGAATGGTTAAATTCGTGGAGGGGATCCCCTATTGATTATTTTCAGTGATCACTAAAAAAGGCAGAGTAAAGCATTCGTCAAAATCATATATAACCTCACCAATCAATCTTCAGAAGACAATGTGTATGATCGAGTCTTCTTAACTGTAATTTTGGCGTATAAACACTAACAGTTTTCGTTGAATAACTGAAGTGCTCTAGTGTGGATCAAGAGAAAGATCTGGTTAGAGGCCATGCAAGGTTCAAATCAAGTTGAGGAGGTGGCCGGGATGGTGCTCTAAATTTTTGCTTAGTATGTATGCTTGACAATTAATAAATAAATAAATAAGTTAAAAAAATAAATACAGTAAATGGAATTTAAATTGAAAATTAGGTAGTTTTTGAGTACTGTGCTCCCCTCTTTCCTCTTCCCTGTTCCCATGAAAGTCACACAATGTGAATCTAGCTCGGTGAGCCCTTGACAACAAGACGCTGTCTGCTGATTGTCTATAGAAGACCGAGCAGATTGTGATTAAAAATGATCCATTGTGCACACCTTGTTAATTTGGGTTCTCTATTGTGTGCCCAGCTTAAATAATAAATACACAGAAAACAGGCTGCCAAAATATTCATGTCAAGAGAGGATATATAGCTCTAAAAGAACAAGAGACACAACATTTACGATTATAATTAGAAACTTTTAAGTCAGAACCGAGAATCCTACAGAAACTTGAAACACTAAATTTTCAATTCCTTACCATATTTTTGAGAAATATTCAAGTATGAAATCCTGTATGTTGGAAACAATTGGATTTGTTAAAGGAAAACCCATACAAATTTTGACAAAGAATACTTACACTGTACATCCAGCGTTCTAATGTCACCTGTTTCAGTGCCAACACTGTTATTGGCCCTGCACATATAACTGCCATTGTTGTTGCGACTCACTGATAAAACCGTGAATGTAGATGAAGCCCCTGATTGCTGTACTTCACCATCCCTTAAAAATGTGTACGTTGGTGATGGATTAGCATTTGCAATACATGACATGTTAACTGTATTTCCTTCCATCACAGGTGTAGCGAAGGATATTAATACACGCTTGTCTAAATCTGAGATTTCAAATAGAAAAACCAATATGTAAACATCGTTTAAAAATCAATATGAATTTTGAAAACCTTAAAATCAATCAGCTTTCTGATATTATCAAATGTCAGCAAAATATGAATCATCTGGGCTCACTCTAATTTTTTTTTGTTTAGCCAATTGGCTAAAGTCAACAATTTTTTTTAGCCAATTGAATCTGTCTTTAGCCAAAATTGAAAGAAAACTTTTAAAAAAATCTTTAGCCAAAACTTGCTGACAGGACATGGGGTCTAACATGTTTGACAGTGAAGTCCGAAACAAGGGGCCGACTAGAGTCCTGGTGGATCCAAAGACGTACAATTGGGGGGGGGGGGGAGTGCGGATGTGTCGATCAAGACAACACTACTCTAGGAGGTCCTACAGTATTTTTTGTTTTCCAAACTCCTAAAAATAAACCTCAGCCTTTTGGGAGAATGATTTTTTTTTTGTTTTTTTTAGTTCCTATGCATGTAATGCAATTGGAACTATTGTAATCACTCTTAGTCACATTTCTTTTGTTTTTTATTGTGTGTAGTATGTGTGTGCATATGTGTGTAGACATTTATGCAAATGCGCATGCGTCAAAGAAAAGTTTTCCGACATTTTGTTTACATAGCGATGCAAAGTTCGATGTGAAGTTTCTGCAGAGTTCAGTCAGGGCTCACGCTAGCCAATCGGCAAGTCGGCATGCATGAAACTATTTTGATTTTACGGCAAAAAAAATCAACTGCTGTGGCATAGGTATTTTGAAGAAGGCCTAAAATAAAACAAAAAGGTTTTAATACTTGCTGAAATACATCGTTTTTTCATTTAGATCTCCATTTTTCACCAACTCAATGCGACTTTTTTCTGTTGTATGAGTAGTCCATAGAGCTATTAAACAACTAGAGTGTTGACAAGATGGCGCAGCAATGCAGAGTTATGTATGTGTACCATCCAAGATGGCCGTCGTAGTAAAGCGCCACCTTCAGGCTTAGTATACATATCTTATTAAGCCCTCTGACTGACTATTATTTCATTAATGATAATGAGTAATGGTAATAACAAATTATTAAACTATTGTAGCCAAAACGAGGCCAAGTGGAGCATCTTATTCAAAAATAAAGTACCAAGGAATGAAAAATAAAATCGTGTACATTACACCCAAACACCGCATCGCTCGAGTTTCAAACATACGGGTACCTAGCTGTACTGAACCCTCTGAGTAAATTGAGGGCGCAATTGCAAACGATGGTGCTTAGCAAAATTTGATTGGCTAAATCTATGGCAACCATCTTTCCACAAAAACATTAGGCCTAAGCTAGGCCTAGTTCAGTACAGTTAGTTACTGCGATGCGAGGGTGGTACTGGTAGATCGTTCAGTCAGTGATATCGTGTTATCGTCAAATACATTTTAATAATGTACTGTATGTACAATTTAAGAATGCACCGCGTGGGTCGCTTTCTTTGTTATGCGGTAGGCTAGTAGTATACGCAGCAGAATGACGGCAGCAATCTAAGCCTAGCCTAGGGTCTAGATAGTATACGTTCTTGATCATCGTAATGAAAACTTCGGCCCAACTGGTGTGGACGATCAGACCCAAGATAGCTTCAAATATATTGTAGTCCTAGTAGGCCGCTACCACCACCCCCACTCCTGATATCGTTCCAAACTACTGTAAAATGAAATTACTGTATACCTAGCTAGGCCTAGGCCCTATGCCTACAAAATGTTTTCAAAGAAATTTGCTAAAAATATTACTGTAATTTACCTGTCGAATTCATTACTAAAATCACTATTTTCGGCCATAAAGACTCCCCCTGTATTTTTCAACCTCCACACAAATTTGACTATATATACACATGCGTATGTATGTACACGAGTATATATGTACACGCGCGCATGTATATATGCACAAGCGCGCGTATATATATATATACGTGTATATGTATATATATACATGTATACGTATATATATGTGTATATATATGTATATATATACACGTATATAAATGAAGTTAGCCGTTAACACTGTTAAATTATATACATAAATCATCAAAGAAAGGTAAATACAGTGTTCGAATAAAGGACATAATAATACATTGTGCAGCATAGCTCGCAACGAATGTAGTTCTGTAAATAAATGAATAAAGAAATTGTGTAATAAAATGCCTCTGGCGGGACTCGAACCTGCGACCTCTCGCTGTCAAGGCGAGTGTCATAACCATTAGACCACGGAGGCTTCATGGTTAAACAGATTCAAATACCACCAGATACACTCCATTACACAATAAGTACGACTAGAAACAAATAATAGCATACACTGAAATATAAATCAAGGTAGCCGTTTTACACTGTTAAATTATATACATAAATCATCAAAGGAAGGTAAATACAGTGTTCGAATAAAGGACATAATAATACATCGTGTAGCATAGCTCGCAACGAATGTAGTCCTGTAAATAAATGAATCAAGAAATTGTGGAACCTGCGACCTCTTGCTGTCAAGGTGAGCGTCATAACCATTAGACCACGGAGGCTTCATAGTTAAACAGATTCAAAAACCACCAGATACACTCCATTACACAATAAGTACGGCTAGAAACAAATAATAGCATACACTGAAATAGGGCCTATATACTTTTTAAGTCATGTATCATGGAACGTTGACGCCTGCAAGGCTCGGGTTTTACTTTCCAAAAAGGGGAGGGGCGGTTTCCTACTAAATCCACCCCTGCCTCAATGAGGGTAACAAGGAAAATGTCTGGCAGGTTCGGGGCTAGGGAAGGGATTGGTAACGTTATTTGATACTGTAGGCAAACAAATTAATATTTTTAGCACACCAATGAGGTATTTTGAATGTTTGCTGAATATATAGGCCTACTGTATCACAAAAGTTGAAAAACATAGACAGTATTTTCCTTTAAGTTTTGAACGATATTGGAGGTGGGGAGCTAGCGGTAGCTTACTAGTTACAGTAAATTCTAAACTGGCTTGGGGAAAAGTACACGATCTAGGCCCTATGCTAGTCTAGCCTTGCTTGCTCTAACTCAAGTATGTACACGGTGTAACAAAGCGACCCACGTGGTGCATTCTTAAATTATTACAATCATTATTTAAATGTATTTTACGTATTAGACGGTAACACAAAATCACTGATTAAATTATTATTGATACTAGGATATGCCCTTTCTACCACCATCACATCGCATCGGCCCTCGTGTTTTACTTAATAGAAAAATGCAAGCTAGTGGTACCTTCATATTAGTCTACGTCATACAGCCACTGTCTTGCATCTACCTTGTTAAAATGACAATTAAAAACTTACGAGACACGCAAGGACATTTGCAGCAAGACTACTCATACAACGTACAAATAAGCGTTGCATGGAGTTAGCAATAAATGGAGCTCAAATCAAAAAATCAATGTATTTTAGCAAGCAACTTTTTTTATTAGACCTTCGCCAAAATGGCTAAAGCTGATGATTTTTTTTCACCAATCCAAAATAGTTTTCGCCCAGGGCGACTTGGCAATGGGTTAGTGTGAGCCCAGATGATAAAGTCAAAGAAAGAATAGAAGCTAGCATGAAATACATTAGTATCATATTCAAGGTCCACAGATGACATCTTTCAGATAAGGTACTCTTAACAAAATTGACAGTAGGATAGACTTACTCTACTGGATTCACAACAAGGAAGAAAATTTCATAATTGTACGTCGGTATGTAATTTTACAACAATAAAGATATCTCTATCTGTACGTCAACGTCTGATGCCTCATAAACAGAGATGACCTTTTCCTAATTAGAGAGATGATTTAAACCATGACACCTTGTATTTCTTTGGATAATCTCAGCGTTTAAACATTGTTGTTCAAGTGGCGTATTCACTGAACAAGGAAATAATTAAAAATAAAAATGTGGGACTTTTAATGCAAAAGATTTTGTTTTACTAAAATATTTTACATTTAATTAAATGAACAATCAATGTTGACTTACATATAACACTCAATATGATGTCATCAGATGCAGGTGAAGGGGGATCGTCAAATATAGTCACACTACATTGATACGTGCCGTTGTCACTTCGGCTGGTGTTAGCAATCACTAGTGTTGTGTCTCCTTCAACACTGAATCTGTCGATATATGAAGACCGTACAGATCCAACTCCATTTTGAGATTGTGCTATTGTATCAGTAACTCCATTGGTGACATTATTCCAGGTTACGGTAGAAATACCTTCACTACTTGAACTACTTCGCACTATGTTGCACATTATTCTGGCTTCATTGCCTTCAGCTACACTTACAATGTCATCAACAGTTACAATCACAGCAGAGCATTTGCTGAAAAAAACTAATAAACAGTAATATTCGTAATAATAAATAACATTCAATCATAAAAGTAATATATAAAAATTCACTTTATTCTCAAATTGGAATTCAAAGTTACAAATTTTAACCAAGGCAAAATGCGAAGTAATAAAATGCTAAATTTTCTTTTTTTTTTTCTTTTGTAACATGCACAATATTTTAAACCCCACACTTTACAGGCCTAAATTTCTGACCTTTGGCCCCGGGTACCCTTAACATACTGAAGATCCATTTTTGTTCGTTTACCCTTATACTTTGATATTAGCGATAACCTGTTAATCATGAAAAAATTATTTCATATTAAAAAACTGCATATTCGAAAGTCGAAAAATGTATTTTATAGCCATGTATTGGTTTGATTGCGACCTACAGTATCCCAAAAACTTGGATTAAAAATAATTAGGTTTATTAGAAAGTTTACCAGATGTATCCAGTTAAATGTCCATTTTACGTACCTCTTGCTACCAAGGGGTAAACGTATTCGTAATTGAAATATTCGTAAACTTGATCGAGTGTTAGTTCCATTACCTAGGCCTAGCTTTCCTCTGCCATTGCACATTGATATGCTGATGACAGTAGCCACGCTTAGAACAAACCGACAGTGCACAGCTTGCTATACCATGGTAGACCTTGATAAAAACCGAAGTATCGTAATCGCTAGCATTCTCAGTTTAACAATATACGAATTTAATTCTATTAAAACATCTGTATGTTTTGATGGATATTGCTACTGTTATCTACTAGTAGTTTTAGATTATTACAGAATAAATGGAAAAAAAATCACAAAGAATCGTTCTTAATTAAAGAATGGTTCTTAGAAACGGTTCTTTCTAGTCAGCAGAAACAGGCTCATACATTATGTTTTTGACACACATTAAATCAAATTGTTTTTCTGCATTACATCCAACACTACAGTAATTGGCACTTTGTAAAACGCTAATTTCTCCAGTCCAATGTTGTTTGGGGTAGTCACCAAACATAATATCTTGAAATTCACTATCAAGTGTTCACCATACTAAAGTTACTATCATGTACTTAACACAATAGACCAGACACCATGATATAATAAAATGAATTTACTGATAAATGCAGAAAAAACACAAAATAAACACAAAATTATCTTACCTGTAATACTTATGATGAAATAGCAAGTTAATTTTATTGCCATTATAAGTCACTGTCAATTTTTTTTTCTAATAACATCTGTAAAATTAAAAAAATATATATTTTTAGTACACAAATCGTGGACAAATTTAGAGATGGGCACAAGCGGCACACAACCCCCATTCTTTATGTTATATTTAACAACAGTTATTCACTGCCAGTGACAAACTTTAACCCATCTATCTACTGCACATAAATGAACTCCTCATTCATTGGCAAATTCTAGCACAAAAAAAATAATTTTAAACAATTCAAATGTACAGTGAATGTGCAATATGCCTATATTGAAGTAAACAATACAAAAATCAGAACAAATGAATGTACATTCCTTGTCTACTAGTCACATTTATAGTAGGCCTACTGTACTATAGAAAGTTCTAGAAGAATAACATTTTACATAATCACTGTAAACCCAAGACCATGTCTAAGGGCAATTCCATATGTGGCGTAAGGGACATTCACAAACTGTTTTGCAGCCTGATCAATAATTAATAGTCGAAAGAAAAATATTTTATCACAATATGTATGTTGTACAATAGGTAACAACAAAAGATTGCCAATTGTAGCTGAAAAAACTGTGTGTCGTACGGGACTCAGAGAAATTTCAGTTTTTTAAACAAGAAATTCAACTTCAAATGTCTGTGATTTTTTGCAGTGAAATTTTTTTGTCAGGAGTCCTAAGAAGACATTAACACCAGTTTTTTTTTTCAGATACACACTGACTTTATTTAATTACCACGTGTATACGGGACAGCCAAAATGTGGCGTACGGGACATCTCTGAATAAGCCTTTTAATTGATACCAACTTAATGTACCCATACTTAATATACAGTCAGGAGTCCTAAGAAGAGATAAACACCTGTTTCTTTTAAATACACCTTGACTTCATTGAAATACCACCTTTTAAAACGTTTATGTAAGCGTGGTGTTTGTGGTGTACGCGACATCTCTGACCCATGCCAGACTTGAAAAAAACTCTTGAAACCTTTAAGGCTAAAGAACTCGTTTATTGTAGGAATTTCCTGCGCTTGGAGCCAGTTCTCAGACAGAAATAAAATGTCACATCCGCCATTATCAATAAAGTTCCCAATAGCGTGAAGCTAAGCTTAAAACAATTGAATGAAAGTAACTTAAGAACCTTGTTACTGTCTTTGGCCATAGGTAGCGTACGAGAATTATGTAGTTACGACCTTTATGTCCATAAACATCTTACCAGTTACAGTGCTTTCGCTGGTAATTGACGATCTGTTTACTGTTAGACCTATACCATCCAGTGTGATGCTGTTGTCGAACACGGTTTCTTGGAATAAATTTGCGTACCAGAATACCATCAGGAAAAATCGATCTATCATAAAGCTTGTCTTTATAGACTACAAAATCATCCACAATAATACAGAAAGCAGTTGGAGCACTAGGACGAACCCTGCTTTTATGTGAAAGCACGTCAAAGACACTGTTTATTCCAATATCTTGTAGATGTTGTCGTAATTCAGATTCTGTTGTATCCTGGTGGAATCCGCCAGCAAATACACGGTGATGTGACTGTTCGTATAATTGAATCTTTCTGCCAATTTCTGAATATCTTTATTTTGAAGTCTGAAATCTGAAAATCCTCGATCCAAAATTTTAGAAGCAGTGTCGTCTTTAAGAGCAGTTTGGACGTAACTTTTAAGTGGATGTACGCTTACGATCTTGTCAACAACTGGAGTACCAATGAAAGATTCTCCTTTTTGACTGGATGACTGGTCGAGTTCTATACCGATATCCAGATGGATTTTGTGATTAATTGCACAGCTGGTAAAATGGTTTGTAGACTTTTTCGAGTTGGTGTCCTGTACACTGACTTGATCAGAACCAGAATTTGATTCTGAACGGAGTGAATAGCCCCTTTCATATCCAACTATGGCGAGATAATTTTAGTGGATGAGCTAGAAGATCTCGCCATAAGTTTGAGTATGACCGCTCAAGTATGGCGAGATGAAGGCCACAACTCGACTAAGCCCGTCGAGTAAATTTATGTCGACTAACTTCTTAATCCAGCCTAAAGCCAGTAAACAATTAAACAGCGGGTGGCCACAGGTCACGAATACACCAATGAAATTTAAGCAAAGTGACCTTCCATGCTTGCTGGTTAGCACGTTTTTTAGTTACTGTCATAAACACCATTTAGAATTGACGCAGTCTCCCTGATCTGTGTACTTTAATTTCAACAAGTCTTATTTTGCAAATGATCGCCGAAAAGTCAGTAAAGAAACGCCATCTTTGGACGTATGCACAGGAATATTTAATAGATATCTGGCGGGAGCCAGAAATCGCCGAAAAAGTTGAAGATAAATTGTATCGTCAGAAGGCTGGTGTCCACGAAATGATAGCAGAGAGAATGCGGGACTTTTTATTAGGGATGATATAAGGGATGACCCGAAATCGGCATGCCCACACTACCAAGCACTAAACGAAATACTTGGGGGCAAACCCAGAGTAAACCCTCCAGCTGGACTCCTCGGCCAGTCTAATCAACCGCCGAGACCTAGGCCTAGCTTACGCCTATAGTCTCGATCTAGCATAAACTAGTCGCGCGAAAATCAACAGTAATTACCCACCATGCGATTGTACTTCCTGTCAAATGATGTGTTTTCCGAATTTCTGGTAGTCAAAATGTCTCGCTCTAAACCTTAACGTCGAAAACGCGATTAGTGGATTTAATCCAATTAACTTGGCAAGTAGATCAGCTACTTCATCTGGCTATAATCCCAAATGAACCTAGTTAATCTCACCCTGTAGGTCTTTAACAGTTTTGGTAAGGGTCTGCACGTTTTGATTTAAAACTGTACAAATTTCATTGGGATCACCGGTGTTTGTCAAGGGCGAGTTAGGCTGTTTAACAGAGTCATTTAAAACACCATTGCATTGTCTGAAGACTTTAGCCAGGCGTACATCAACGAGTTTGTTAACAGGGCTATTTCCTAGCACATAAATAGCCTCAGCCAGGAGGGACATTTTTCTCCTTGAGTAAAATTCCTTTCCATCCAATTCGGCGAAACATTTTGCGAGTTCCAGGTGTAGGTGTAAAATCCTTGGTGACTGACCATTTTTTTCTGCCTGGTTTGAGATGAAGTCCACAATTTATGTTTTATCATATTGGTAAATTTGCTGGAGCTTTCCAACATATCGCACCACAAAGTCACCTGCATTAGTAGAGCTCAGATAATCGAATGCGGATTGGCTTGCATTTGTCCTTTTAAGGCATGATGAATCAGATGCATGCAATTGAGCCAATCTTGTTGTAGTAGAAAATTTCACCTTCAAGTGAAGATGCAAATAAGATTTATGCAGATGAGCTGCCCTAGCCCAGTAGGTAACAAAGCAAGAGAGTATTTCCCACCAACTGAAAAGGAAATGTCCTTCGTCGTTGTTAGCCTGGCCTAGCCGATTTGTATGCTAAGTTCAAAGTTTTTTGCCAAAAACTTGGTAAACGAAGTGACAAAATTCTTATGAAGATGCTTTCTTCGAAAGTATAATAATGTATGGTAACACAACAGTAAGTACTGTGTATATCATACACAATGAACTAACAGTAAGTACTGTGTATATCATATTTTTCGCCAACTCCATGCAACGTATACAGTATTTCTGTTGTATGAGTAGTCTTGCTGCAAATGTCATTTCGTACCTTGCAAGTTATTTTTTCTTATTGTTATTTTAGCGTGGTAGATGCAGGGCAGTAGCTGTACTGTATGCATAACAGAAGTCCAAAACACGAATAGACTTCATCTGTGAACCGTTGAAACATTTGGTGGTGTTTCTTAAGCCAAACAGCATGTGTACAAATTCAAAAAGTATAAAGTTTCTGGTATAGAAAATTGTCGGAGGGCATCAACTTTACTAAGATAAGAGAGTATTTATTGGTACAAGTCAGCTAGAGTGCTTGACAATGCCACCCTAACGTGAACATGTGTTGAAAGTACTGACCAGAGCCTTGCAGGCGTCAACGTTCCTATGCATGATACACGACTTTTAGAAGTATATATACGTGTA